TAGGAAGAAAAAGCACAGAAACTTTATATGCGTATATGCATACATATTTAAATATATATATATATATATATATATATACGTATCTATATGCATAAATATGCATCTACAAAGAGATGAAACGAAAGGGAAATAATATTATTATAACAACATGTATCTCATTCGCTTCGTTGCCTTTTGTACATTAACTCCCACGCCTTTTGATAGAATGACGTCAATCTCTCGATTCGTTGACCTTATACATGTATATATATATATATATGGTTTCTCTCTCATCGTCTTCTCGTTTGTTCGACGAAGCGAGAGAGTAACAGAGAGAAAAAAAAAGAAAGAGAAAGAAAGCGGTAAAAGAAGAAGAAGAAGAAGAAGAAGAAGAAGAAGAAGAAAACTCGTGCATCGAAGTGAATCAGCGTCCGTTCTGGAGCACACTCGCTTGTTTCCGTTCGTAACAAATCATACAAACGCTTCGTTTAAAATATCCTTCCGTGCTCTGCTGGACCACAGTTGGCGAAGGGGAAGGGTGGGAAATAAAGAGAGAGACAGAGGGAGAGTAGATACGATAGGATAAAACATTATATGTACTTTATTATAGAGAGAGGATGTCTCGTTTTAATTAGAATTTATATTTATAAGAGTACTTCTCATGTGAGATTATTAAAAGAATGAATTAGATATCGTCCTTCTCTCTATTTTAAATGAGGATGAGTTCATTCGAGATAATATAATGTTCGTATTTTTTTTTCTTCCTTTCTTTCTTTCCTTCTATCTATCGAAGTAACTCCAATGTTCTCTCTTACTCACTTACTCCGATATCTGACCCAACTAGGTCGGATAAAAATAAATTCGTAGGGATTTAGTGTTAATCTGCTTTGGTTGTATCCGATCGAATCTCATTAGTCCCCTAATTTCGTGTTACAGGGGAGCTATACGTTGAAAACCTGGCCGAGAGGAGGACCGTCATGATCAGGATGGGATGGTTGTGGGTCGAGGGTACTTCAATGAAGTTGGCTCTAAGGGCATTGAACCTTCGTCAAGCGGCACCCAGTCTCTGCCAGCCTCATGCCCTCGCCCTTGGATTTACTCTGAGCGATTCTCAGGGTCACTCGCTTGCTACGTTTTGGGTAAAAGAAAAAAAACAAACAAATGTTCATTCATACACACACACACACACATTCACTCACACGTACATACACCATACAGAAATAAACACGTACCCGAAATGAACAACTAATCCTATTCTAAGGTGTTTCGGAAGTTAACTTGAACTTTAAAATTAAAAATAGAGTCTTATAAGATTTAAAAGGAGAGAGAAAGAGAGGGAAAAAGGGGGGACAGAAAGAAAGGGGAAAGATCGAGAGGGAAGGAAAGATAATTCTCAGTGTGCAGTGCGATGTAAACGGCCTTTATCTTCGGCACGATCCGTTTCCTCGACTGTAAACACTTTCTCGTGGCCGACAGACACTAGGTTCCCGTTTCACTGAACGCTGCAACTTCTAATTATGGCCTGGCAACGTCGCCCATTCGATTTCTAACTCATTATACAACGTTCCTTGAAAAAGGCTTGTTCTCTACAAACGTTTAGTTCCTCCTATCAATTTAACACCACTTCCAAATTTCTGATTCCTCCTACTTGACTTTCTCTTCTCTCAGGCTTTTTTTTTTTTATTTTTGCATAGCAGAAAACGTCGATGTTGTCTCAGTGGATCAAAAACTTTCGACGAATATAATTTTCTTCGTATTTCTCTTTTTATTTTTGATTGTTAAAAATTAACTATTTTTAAATGCAATCTCGTATATAAAATAAATCTTTTCTTCAATATCATACCGTTTTAATTTTTAAAATGTAGACGACGAGTAAACTGGTGCCAATCATCGTCGTGGTAATTTAAACAACGATACGAATAAGATTCGAACAACGTAGCAATATTTTATTTATTTATAGTAGAATACAAAATCGAATATTTCTAGTGTTAAATAATTATTCAATGTGTTTTTAATAAAAAAAAAAATTAAACCCGTTTAAAAGATCAACATCGATAAGATTGACGGATGGAAAAATAGTAGAAGTAAAAAAAGAAAAAAAATAGGAAAAAAAAAAAATTAGAAACGAGGATAAATTTAAAGAGTAGGTGCAGGGATTATTAGGAATCGCGTGACGTAAGTTGAAGCATGCGAATATTGAAAGGATTTAAATAAGGTCAGTAGGCAAGGTCGAAATCGGTTTGTAGCTGATCTGGATAGTGGTAAACGGACGCGTGGGAGTAAAACTCGCCACTCTCCCATGACCCACCATTGTCAAGGAGTCCCACCATCTTCGTTCACCGCCTAAGGAGATCTTTACTTCTTACTTCGTTTTACTTTAGTCGATCCAAGGACGTAGACAGACAGATAGACGATCTCATGTTAGCTGACAACGATGATTGGCACCAACTAACTTCAACGAGATCCTCTCTCGGATCCTTTGCGAATTTGATTTTTTTTTTCTTAACAACGTTATCCTGTTAATAGTCTGTGAAGGTAAAAACAAAATAAAATGGCAGATCTTTTCTTATGAGATCATATCGTTATATTCGACGAGGAGTACCATTCTTTTCTTGACGTTTCATTTCCGGTAGGTCAAGCCAAGAAAACGAGAGGTTTAATAATCGGAGGTCGTTCGTTCGTTCGCAAGGTCGAAATGTCATATCCGTTCTTTATCATGTATCTTGAATATTTTTCTTTTTTTTTCTTTTTTCTTTTTCTTTATCTTTTTATCTCTTTCTTTCTCTTTACGTGAATGCAAAGGTAATTTAACCAATGTTAAGTTATATTTTTCGTCTAGGAAGTCGGAGAAGTTAAATTCCCAAGTAAATTCTAGGATGTCGTTTGTGTGTTAGCAAGCAACCAAGCAACCAAGCAACTAACCAACCTACCAACCAACCAAGCCGACGACTTTCGAATCGTCGAGCGGCGAAATCGTGTGTCGTGATTCTTCCATCGTTTTGCACGAATACTCTCCTCTTATCTGGCCATAACTCTTTTCTCGTATCTTTTCATTTCTTGCTCTCTATCGTCGATAAATCCTTATCAACATTTGCGTGCTTAATTATTTGTTTTTCTTTTCTTTATTAAAAGTCAGCCATAGATATAAAAAAGATCAGAAGCGAGAATATATTTATTTAAACGAAAAATATAAATGAATATATACATAAATATTTATTAAAAATAATCTGTTTGAAAAAAGAAATCGCAGATTCTTTGAATATGTTAATAATAATAACAGTAATAATAATATTAATATTAATAATGATTTATCTCATTTCTTTTTTTCTCTTTTGTCTGTTTCCTCAGGCCGACACAGAACCGATATACTGGTCTTGGGTGAAAGCGATAGCAACAGAACTGGTAAGGCAGACTCCGTTTCGTGCTCGAAGATGTCTAAACTTTTTAGAGATCCTGACAATATGTCCGAGAAGTCCGGCACCGTTTCCAGAGAGTCTAGCAGAATCTAGAAGACGTTCACGTAGTGAGTTTCGTTGTTGGCCTATCGAATCGTCATCGATAGACGATGGAAGTACGAAAAATTCAACTAGTATATTGGAAGAATCTAGAAGAAGAGCGAGAAGCGAGTTACGCGGTTGGTCGAGCAGTAATTCAAGCGACGAGGACAATTTAGGTGAATTTCGTAGTATACCAGCAATAATATCAACGAAGGATCATCAAACGGTCTCGAGAACGTGGGGTTGTAGCGAAAGTAGCGAGGGTAGCGACGATAGTCTTCCATGGGGTGTCGGAATATGTCGATCTAGTGTAGATTCCGTCGATTCTACGGTTTCCTTGTCGGAACCTGAGACCAAAGAACAAAGGATACAAAGGTACAAGGAAACCCGTAGACGTGAAAACGAAGCAAGAAGTCGTCGTGTTTTAGAAGAAGATGCTAGGAGACGTAAAGCAAGAGCCGAAGAAAATAACAACAACAACAATAATAATAACGAACTTCCAAAAATTTACGTGCCTAAAAGCAAATATTATTCCGTCAATGAAAACGACGATCATCTAACTCGACGATCACCGAAAAAAGAATCGTCGAATAATATTACGACGACCGAGTCGACCGAAATAATTCGAAATGAGAACGATAGATTACCGCCTATCAAACCGGTTGAACCATTTACTGTTAGATTCGAAGAGACCGATAGAACCGTGGACGGTAATAAGAATAACGACAGTAATAATAATAATAATAATAATATTAATAATAATAATAAAAATAATAATAATAATATTAGTAATGGTATTGCAGGAAACGATCCAACGCGATGCAGTAACGGCACAATTACCAATGGTATCTTAAGGACAGATGCGAATAACGAAAGAAGGAGTCGAACTAGAGAGAGGCGAATTTTTCGAGAGAAGGGTCAATCGCAGCAGTCTCAAGAAGTAACGACGAGTAATAACAACAACGTTGAAAGTTTACAAGAACGAAAGGAACGATTGGCTGCGATATCATCGAGAATACCTGTACCACGTCAATTGTCATTAGGAAATGAAAGAACGATTAAATCCGTTACGAGTGCTGCATCGTTGATTGATGGTTGCATGAGTTTGCCTAGATCTGCTACGACGATGGCTCTGTCTATATTAAAGGAACCACCTTGCGAGGAGGATGTTGCCAGATTATTGGAAAGGTGTCAAAGGGTCGATCATTACGTACCAGTTCGTGAAAAACTCACTTTGTTTGAATCACTCTCAAGATTGGGTGGTCGTTTGGCACGAAGTACAGAGGATCTTGGTAGATCCGAATCGAAACCGAGTCCTAGGGGAAAACAACGAGCGAGATCTCTTCACGATTTAAATCGTGGTGGTGCTAGGTCCGTACCGGTACGTGAAATGTGTCGATTTTTCGAGGGTGACGTTCGTGACACCGGTCAGAGTAGCAATCAATCGCCAACGATTGTTAACAACAACAACAACAATAATAACAACAATAAGTATTCGACGTTGACGAAAAATTCGGGTAAATTAAACGAATCGTTAACAACAATTTCTCCGAGAAACACGTGGAAGGATAATAACACAACTACGTCCAATAAAAGTAACAACGATGCCGCCCCTTGCGTTAGAACGTCCACGAGAAAGAAACATTACGCTAAGTAAGTGATTTATTCTCGCGATAATTAATTATTAGAACGAAATGAAAAGAGGATGACTACGTATAACATTAGAATAAAAAAAACTCTTCTTGGATATCTTTTTTTTTTTTCGAGGGAACCGAGAGAGACTTTCTCTCTCGATTGCATTGCGTTTCTCGTTTTACGAAGCTTTCAACGATTCTATCAGTCATTTTCTTACGTGTTCATAATACGATCGTCCGATAAACTCTAATATAAACTTATGTTATAAGTACGTTGTATAGAAATCGAGCAAATAATTAGATATTACATATATTACATATATTAAAAAAAAAAACAACAACAACAACAAGAAAATTTCTTATACAAAATATTGGAATCAATATAATTGTGTTATGTGTTCGCCCGTTCTTTAAATTATACATATATATTCCATTTATTTCAAATGACTCTTCGCATATCATACGAGTCGCGTATATATTTCATTTCCAAACAGATTTGTCGTTAAAAAAATTCAATTTCGAAAAAAATTTATCTCACAATTAATAATATCGACGAACGATTACGCGTATTTGAAATGTCAAATGTGATTTGAAAATGAACGATTGGATTTTTTCTTTCTTTTTCTTTTTTTTTTTTATTAAATACTATTATTATTATTTTTTCTTATTTTTCGATTTCAAACGAGAAAGAGAGAATTAACTACTCCTAAGAGAACATAACGCGTGGAGTATGGAACTCAAGAGATCGAGTTAACATAAGATTTCCGTCGAGAGAGGGACGGGAAAAGATATGGTGGTGGCGAAGGTAGAGGAGGAGAAAAAGGAGAATGAGGAGGAGGTGGAAAGGTGGCTAAGAGGGAGTTGGGGAGGGGGGAGAGGAAATCAGGGAAACCGGTAATTTACGTTCACCGAGCGATTGCAGCAATGTCGAACACCTGTGTGGACAGGACTCTCAAGTATAACACGTTGATCGCCTTTACGGCTGACTTCTTTAATTATATATATATATATATTTTTTTTTTCCCCCCTTTCCACCTTTCTTTTCTCTTCTCGTTCACCTTAGTGCCATTTTTCTATGTAGACGTAGAAACGTAGGTAAGTAAAAAATCGAATATTTAGATTACTTCTCGATGGAAATATAATAAAGGATGAACAATAATTTCATTTTTCGTTTAGCAAATTTGGAACATCCGCTCGTTCGATTAACAACGAGCTTATGATTTTACTATTACTGTTACTACTACTACTACTACTACTACTATTAGTTCTATTACTATCAATGTTGCTACTATTACTCCTACATTGGCTACGTCGACTTCCGCTTATTTCCAATCGAAATTCTCATTTCCGTTCTCGTTTCTCTCTCCCCCTTCTACGTTATTTCTCTCAGTCTCTCTTGAATTTTTAGAACGCGATCGGATAATTTCGTAATATGGTACTTCCTTTTTTATTTTGTATATTTTCTTTTTCGTCGTTCATGTTTGTATATGTATAAATATATATATATATATATAATATACACATTATATATATCTATCTATGCATACACGATGACAAATATGTATCCTTCGAATCACGTTTTCGTAGCGGTCTTATTCAAACAAGCGTAAAAAATTCGTACCGCTCGACACGCGAATTCTTTTTTTTTTTTTTTTGAATGAAATGAAAAGGAATATAAAAAAGAAAAAAAGAAAAAAAACAAATAAACGAACGAACGAACGAACGAATGAACATACGAACGAACGAACGAGCGAAAGAAAGAAAGAAAGAAAGAAAGAAAGAAAGAAAGAAAGAAAGAAAGAAAGAAAGAAAGAATATATCACACGTAGAAATAATTAGAAGGAAAAATTAACGACTGCTTGTATTCCTTTTCTAATTGAATTTTCTTTCGTAAGCGGATCTTTTTCGTGTATATATATAATTTGTAAGCTCGCAAAGTTGGGAAAAATACGATCGTTTCATTTTCCTGCTTTGCGATCTCGATTAAAATGCGTTTATTTATTGAAATTGTTTATTAAGTTCTATTGTCGAATTTTGTCCCTGTTGTTCGGGATCGAGGATCTAAAAAAAAAAGAAAATGTTAAAACGATAAAAAAAATATAATAAAATTAATAAAAATAATAATTATAATAATAAAAATAATAGTAATGATAATAATAATATTAATAATAATGAAGAAAATATAAAAAGATAGAAAAATTAGATTTGGAAAAAAAGCATCCTCGATTCGTTAATCGAACGATTTTCGCTCTCTTCCCTTTTTTTGTTAACGTTGCGTACGATCGAGAAATGAATGACTTGAGCATGATCGAATTTTTTTTTTTATATATATATATATATATTTTTTTTATTTCTTTTTGTCCTCTAATTGTATTATTTTTTATTCTTTATTGTTCTTTTGTATATTTTCTTTCTTTTTCTGTATAGTAGTTATTTTTGTCAAATTTATAATTTATACATTATCGAGAGTAGTCGATTAGTATCCTTCCGATATAAAGGATAAATTATGTATGTATCGTTATTATAAAATACCAGTTGTATACTGTATCGTGTGGGAAAGAAAAAATTAAAAAGAAAAGAAGAAGAAAATTCGTGATAAGAACAATCATGATGATTCAAGACGAATGCACGTATGTCTGATTAAAATAATAAAAAAAAAAAAAACAGATTGAAGTCAAAAAATTGACAACTAATTTGACAAATAATTCTTTTTTTCTGAGACTTTTCTCGAACCACCTTTCAAATAGAACATTTTAAACGAAATCTTTAAATCAAGGATGATGATTTATCCTTTCACCAAATCCCACCTGTCGATCACAATAAATCTAATTTCATGCGTGCTTGTAAAATCTAGTCAAGATATAGTGATTATGAATGATCGGTAATTAGATCATTATAATAAAAAAACATTAGTTGTTATTTTTTTTCTGGTAATGATAATAATGATGATAATAATTATGATTCTTAACATTTCACATCGGATTTACTATTAGGAAGAAGAAGAAGAAAAAGAAAAAGAACGTATCGATCTGTTGAATTTCAATATTTAACTTAATAATAAATCAATGAATTATTAACAGTAATATTGACAGGAAAACGATTTTTTCGTTTTCTTTTTCATAATAAATTCATAATACATTTACATTATGAGAGGAGTCAATCGATACGTAATAATCGATAATTCGTTCCATGGTTAAATAATTTCTCTGTAATGTATTATAAACATATACATTGAAACATACGCACACACACACACACACATATATATATATATATATATATTTTATATATTATATATATGTAAATATTTAAATATATATATATACACACTCATTATATATATATATTTACATACAGTATAAATAGAACACATCATCTTCTATGTATTTATCTCCTTCTCTCGATAAAATAATAAATATGAACGTGTTTCTTCGATCGTCGTTGCGTTGTTTCTGGATTTGTATTTATATACTTTTGTTGTAATAAAAGGGACGAGTAATGAGTGTTACGTAAAAGCAATTATTAGAAAGTGAATATAAGTCTTACACTGTCTGTCTGTCTGTCTGTCTCTCTCTCTCTCTCTCTCTCTCACACTCACATAGATACACATTCACTCACAGTTATTCACACAGTCATTCTCCTTATCTTTCTTGCACTTCGTTACAATTCTTTTTTTAACCGAGTGACTTTTCTTTCCCAAGTTGTTGCCCTTTCCTTCGAACATTTCGCGCCACGATGAAAAGAAGAAAAAAGGAAGGCAAATATATAAATAATAATAAAATAAGAAAGAAGAAAAAGATGAAGAAGCACGATGGTAAAAGAGAACGCGTGCTGTTAATTGCAAGATTTTCGCAAGAAACCGAGGCTCGAGGTTGCGGAGGCGCGCGATGATTTCATGAAAATATACACGTGCATTGTATGCTATGTAAATATACATACAAATCTATCTATGTATATGTATACAACACAAATACACTTGCATTACAACTTTGTAACGTACCTTACACACGATATATACAAACGAAACGCGAGAAAGAAGAGCAGGTAGCGCGCACAAAGTGTTTAACGTTGTCGTCATTTTTCATAATAATTTTTTGATGACTGTGATTAAGTACGGAAATAAGTGGAATCGTGATCTCTCGGTAAAATATTATCCTAGGTTCTTCGTTCCGTGAAAGCCTTAAAGTTGACTTAGAATTTTGTCGATATTAACTCATATTCGTCGTGATAGCCCTTTCTTCTTTTTCTTTCTTTTCTTTTTTGTTTAATCGAATTAATCGTTAATTTTTACTGATTTTTTTTCTTTTGTATCATTCGATAATGATAGTAAATAAAACGTATCTCAATTTTTTTATCTTTTTGCAAAATTTTACCAACATACGAAACGATAACGGATTGTTTTCACGTTCGATACGGCATTGGAATAAATCGTCAATACAAATTATAATTTCATTTCAAAATGGTAATCGTTACTATTAATGCAGGACTGGAATCAACGTAGAATAGAATTGCATTATTAATTTCTTCTTTATTTTATTTAATTACAACAAACACGTCACAAATCCCTGTGTATTCATTCATTCCTGACGCATATTCATTTCTCTTGACTTTTCATCGTTGAAAGTAAACGTCATTTATCCATTGTTGTATTGGTACTATATAATATATTGGACAAGCATTTAATTAGATCCATAAATGTTGACGAAATAATGGAATATTTCCTACTAATTCTGATTACAATTAATTTAGCAATAAATCTAATAAAGACAGTGCAGTTAATGTTTCAGGATAAAAATTAAGAACACAGTATCTTATTGTTGCATATTCAGATAGTTTTCAACAATACTTTCTTATGGTGCGTCAACGAAACACTAGTTTCTTATCATTTTGTATTTTTGTTATAACTTTTTAAGTTTACGTTTGTTAAATATTTCTTTTCCATTTTTACTTATAGAATATGATGGTTAAATTTTACAAAAAAAAAAAACAAATAAAGTGGGACATCCTGTAGTTAGATTCCTTATAAGAACATCGTATAGATATTACAAAGAAGGAAGATTTCTGTAGGTGTTGCTATGTATACATATAAAAGGATTATAGACGTGCAAATTATGTATCCACGCAGCTGGTTCGATTGTACTCGAGCCGTGAAAGGTAAGTTCGTTACGGCTATTGTTCTAAAATAATCTAATGTCCGTAGAGAGGCATTTGCTATACGGATACTACCTATGTATATATATGTATGTAGTTATGTTTGCATCAAAATAAAAGTATAGATGAGGTGATATTTTTGTTATTGTAAATTTTGTAATTTACCCATTTACAGTTATGCATTTCAGTTCTATTTCAATTTACGTTGAAATAATTTATACATATATAAATTACGTATATGTGTACATAAAGATAAAATTTAGATTAACTCTGCATATATGATATTAGAACGTTTCAAAGTTTAAATTCATACGAATAGATTCACGTAAAGGAAAAACGAAGTTTGCAGAAGGTATTACATATAGATACATACGTATATATTATATTTGGAATCCGTGTTTATGTAACATAGCAGCTTGCATGATCGCAATAAAAATATATTCCGTTTATTTACATGTTACTTTACGCGTGGCTAGTCACGTTTAGATCGACGCCCACCTGATACTTCTTGACTCAATGTAAATTAGTTGCTCTTGCGTGCCGATCAAATCTATTTGAAAAACATATAATTAATCTAAAGAATTAGAAACGTGACTTTGGAAATTATTTGCGAAGTATCATCGTTCGTGTATAAATTATTACATTCATTTTTTTTTGTTATAGATTATTTCTATCAATCTTTAAATTGGCAAATCTTACGTACGATCTTATTCGATTACTACATCTGTATGATACAGTTATGATCATCATGACTTTTCTACTTTCATTATTTTTCGAATTATTGTTTTCGATCACAACTTTAATATTTTATCTTTATAGTTTTCTTGTAAAAGTATTCAATGTAATAAGATTACGATTCTTATTTACCGGATCGTTACAGATCGCGGTCACTTGCGTGTTTATCATACTTCGTACGGAACTAATGTAAGAAAACAAAGATAATTCATTTCCTTGATATATCGATAGTTGAAAGATACTTTCGTAAAATCTTATGAATAATATACATGAAAATATATATAGTAGAATAAACGAATTGATTTCTTATCTCGTTAAAATAAACGAATCATCATCATTGACAACCATATTCGATCGAGATGAATATGAGAAATGGAAAGATATCGACAATGGGATTGGATTCAGCATCTCGTTCTTCGAGTTAGCAACATGCAGCAGGTAGGTATAGTAACCATACTCGACCTTGAAACAACGGTCCCTCACTCATAAGGTCGCGACCTAGTTTTCGATCATCGTCCTATTTCCAAGACCCCTCATTGAAACCCATCGAGTAATCTCGCGGCTTTCGTTTGCTCATAAGAAAGGTCTCTTTGCTTTCGCACTTTCCTACTACAATTTTCGATTCATTTCTTCTTGTCGATATTATCTGATAAGATTAAACACAAGCAATACTTAAAACGAGTTAATGTAGAAAATTCATAATGATTGTTATCGAAGGCTAGTGATAACATTCTTCGAAGATTGTCAAAGTTTACTTTAAATATGATGATTAATAATTAACAAATATAAGATATTAAA